TAAGCTTACCCCCTGTAACAGCTGGTTCAGCTCCAAAGTGGGCACTTGACCAGGCCACAGGGGCCGTGCTGTTCATTCATTTACTGAAATATTTAGTGAGCACTTCATTTGTGTTGGGCTTTGTTCTAGGCCCTGGGAACATGGGTTGTGGTGGTAAACAAGACTACAGAGAATTGACACCTTAAGTGAGGGAGGTGCCCAAACTAAATTAATGAGGAAATTGTTAAGTGGATCACGAAGTGGTGTGTGCTAAGGAGAGAAATAAGAGAAAGGGTTTAGGGAGTGAGAAGTGGGAGCTGTTGTTACAGCTTTAAACAGGATGATGAGAAAAGGCATCAGAGACAAGGTGGCGTTTGAACAAACACCTGCAGGCAGGGAGGGAAGGGAGCCTTGGAGAATGAAGGAAGTGTTCCTGGCAGAGGGACAACAGTTGGGATCAGCCCAGCCACCCTGGCCTCTCTTAGACCAGATAGAAAGTAGAGGCGTCTTTCTCATTCCCTTCCCTCTACCCCCAGTTGCACTCACTCAGGTCCGGGGCAGCCCTGGACACTGGGGGGAGCCCAGGGGGCCAGCCAGGCGCCTGTCCCCAGCTCCCCTTGAGTTGAGCAGTGTGGAGACCGTCGTGTACAAACTGCAGACTGCCTTCCAAGAAGCCCTGGACCTTTACCACCTGGTGAGCCAATCCCTGGGGTCAGGGGAAAGGGCTGAGGGGGTGCATTGGGACTGGCCGGCTTGGATGGCCCCTAACAAGGTTGGCACCCCTTGCAGATGGTCTCTAGTGACCAGGTGAGCACCGAGCAGCAGCAGGCAAGGACTGAGCTGGCCTCTACCTTCCTTTGGATCCACAACCAGTTAGAGGCCCGTGACTGGCTGGCTGGGACTCATGTGGGCCCCGCCCAGGCCCTACCCAGCCCAGGTCCCCCCTCCCCACCTACATTGTGCCCCTTGGCCAGTCCAGATTTGCACGCCCTGCTGGAACACTACTCGGAGCTGCTGGTACAGGCTGTGCGGAGGAAGGCACGGGTCTACTGAGGCCCAGCAGCCCTGCTGTTTTCTCACGAAATAGGTATTTTAAACAAATAAACTGACAGCTTAGAGGAATGGTTCCTGGTGCCTATCCTGGCACATCCACAGAGCCCCCTGTAGGTAGATGCAGGGAGGAAGAGAGGGAGGGAAGGAGGGAGAGGGGGGGGGATGGAGAGAGAGTGGAGAGCAGTGCTCTCTGGTGGTCCAGCCCCGGGAATGCTCGGAGGCCCAGGTGCCAGGCCCTGTTCTCAGGCTCCATCAATGGGAACATGGGACCAATGTTCCCAAGAAGCTTGGGAACCGCAGTAATGATGACCCCAGCACCTGGCTCCCATGTCACTTATCCCCAGCCCGCTCAGCTGCTGAGGGATCACATGTGGTCCTTGCCCAGTGGGGCCCAGCTGTACCCAAGGAAGAGGCCACCCCTTCTTTCCTGCCCAAGAACCCACTGGAGCTGCTGCAATCACCATGTGCCAGACCCTGGCCACCAGCACACATTGCCATTCCACTGGCCCCTGGGCCAGGCCCAGGTTGGATCCTATGAAGTCCAGTCTTTTGTCCCCATCTGCAGCAGGGGAAATTCCAGAGAGACAAACAGGCTCATCCACTAGACAATCTGGGCAGCATGCCCCGGCCACCCAGCAGTTCCTTCCCCAACAGGAGGACTGTGTCCGACTCCACATCCCCTGAGCGCCCAGCTTCCCCAGGCAGCAGGCATGTCCCATCACATGGACTGCTGTGGCCTGAAGCCCCACTTCCCTGTGAGTTCCTCCCTGCTCACAGCCCACCAGAAACAGGCTTGGAGAGACCCAGTGCCCAAGGTCCCACTGAGCTGAGACTCAAACCTAGACTCGCCTGGTGGCAGAGCCGGACCCTTCAACTTGAGGACATGGCCCTCTGCTGCCTCCACAAACATTGACACATCAGAACCAATCATTCCCACAGGCACCCCAGTGCCTGTCACTGTTCCACACATGAGGGGTTGAGTGAGGAACAGGACAAGCAAAGTGTCTGCCCTTGTGGCATTCACCTTCTAGAGAGCAAAACATACAGAAATTAAAACAATACCTATAGGTAAGCTGAGGGAATTCACTGTGCTGGTGGAAGGGTCAGAGAAGCCCTTTCTCAGGTGACATTTGAGCTGAGGCTTGATAGAGAGTACAGGCCATGTGGACATCTCGGGCAAGTATCCAGGCAGATGGAACAGCAAAGGCCCCAGGGGGGTCAAATGTACATGGAAGGCATAGCAGCAAAGCCAGGCTGGCTAGAGTGGAGTCAGCTAGGGGAGAGGCAGTGGGAGGAAAAATGGGGTTCCACTGGGAAGGGCCTTGCTGCTTCGTGACATTTAAAACCAAGAAACATGCACAACACAATTTTCTCCCCTAAATTAAAATCCCTGATCTTGGAGTTTGGGGAGGGGCCCAGTCTTGTTTATTTTCCAAGCTCTCTTTCCCTGCCCCAGTGGGCCCAGGTGGTCCAGGAGGCATAGGTTGGCTCTACCTCTGCCAAGAGGCTCCCTGCCCAGGTTCATAGGCCACCCCTGAAAGACGGGAGACCCACTCTCCCTTCCTCTGCCTAGCTTGGCCACAGTTGCCTAAGATTTCTGAACAAGGTTTGGCATGCAGGCCCCTGGACACCCAGGGAACCATCTTGAGGCTCTGTCCCTGGAGGAATTTACCCCTCATCCTACCCTGTATTATAGTTAAGCCTTCAACTCCAAGTAGCAGACACCTAGCTTACGGGGGCCCATGCTGTAGGGACATTTGTTACTCTATCACCCTCCATGAGTGAGTTTCACCCTCCAGCTTAGGCCCTCACAATTGCAACATGGCTGCCATAACACTCAGCAGTATGCCCCTACCAACCAGTAGCAAAGCTAAAAAGCAGGGCAGCGGCCTGGGTAGTGGGGAAAACGCAAAGCCTTCCTAGATGCCTGCCTCCAGAGTAGTTACAGGCAGTAGGAATGGTGATTGCTTTGATTTGCTTGAACCAGCCATCTTTCCTGCCCTGAACATGTTTCTGCTCAAACAAAAGGGGGTCTCTCAGCACAAAAGGAGGGTGAACTGGTAGTTCAGGAGAATCCAATGTGTCTCCCACTTTCCACTTAAGGAAGGACCAGGTTTTCCTTGGACAAACCAGCTGGTTAAGAAACCACTGTTGGGCTGGCCGAGTTGCGCATTGGTTAGGAGTTGGCTTGGGATGCCAGCCCTGAGCATCAGGCCTCTGGTTTGGATCCCACATTGAGGACCAGTGACGCTGCGCCCTCTGCAGCTAAGATGGTGAACAGCAGCTTGACTTGGAGCTGGGCTGCATTGGGTTGCCGGCTGCAGTGGGGCTGGCCAGCAGCTGGCGTGTGCTTTTGTGAGCTGCCGCGAGCAGCAGTCCAATGGCCGGCGGGCAACTGCCTCACCTGAGAAGAGTGCAATGATAATACCAACATGGGCCAGTGAAGCAACGTCCTCCACGACTGGACTGAGGAACAAAAGGACAGCAACTTGTCCGTTCCCCTTCCCCGATTCCCCAACGCTGTTCCCCTCCCTCAGTTCCCCAATAAAATTTAAAAAAAAGAAACTGCTGATGACTGTGTGTGGGTGGTTTGTGGACCCACAGGATCCCAGCAGGAAGACAGCATGCCCAAGTGGGATATTTCACAGAGTTTAGCGAAGGAACCATTTGCAAAGGAGTGGGCAGGGAAGAGTGAAATCACAGCATCCCAGACTGGCACCAGAGGAGAGTTGTCACACACCCCCACCCTAGGCCACATGGCACAAGGAGGCAAAATGGAACCCAAAAGAGCCAATCCTGGAGAGAGGGCTGCCCTGAGGGGAGCTGTGTCCCTGGCAACCCCACAGGGAGGGAGTTGGGGATCCCTCATTTAGTTGGACTCCCCGTTGTCCAAACCCTACTGGAAGCCAGAGGAGTACAGGAGCCCAGGCGATGCTCACCCAAGTCAACCTCCCAGGACACAGAGCAGGGCAGAAAGCGGGGCTAGGGACAAATAAAGATATCCAGCCCCAGATTTTTTCCCTAATGTGTTTTCAGCAACAACATGGGAATCAATTACCCCAAGAGACATGTGTTGGGCATGGAGAATAGCTCCCCATTCATCAGCTCATTCTTTAGTGCCACCTGCCCTCTGTACTCCACATTGGGACAGATCCTAATACTGGGCTGTCAGATCTGTGCCAGACATACCAATCATGGCTGTATGAAATCCAACAATTGTGAGATGGCAACACTTAAAACCCCCTTGTATAGATGGGTCGACTGAAACGCGGATGCTTGCCTAGCCACTCCACCCATCAAGACTTCCTAACAGCCCCTTTATGTCTTGCCATGTGACAGACCCCATGCTCAACATTCTCCACACGTGATCTACATGGATCTTTTAACAAACTAGAGATAAGGAGATTCATTAGTCCCATTTTGCAGATGAAGAAACAGGCTCAGCAAGAAATGACTTGCCCCAGGTCCTGCAGAGATAAAGTGGCAAAGCTCTGGGCTAGCAGATTCAGTGCTGCCTCCATTGCTTCCCCAAATGAGTCAGCAGGACTGACTCTCAGGGAATGTGAAAAAATGAATAAATATTTCTTTTACCACCAAGCCTTTGTATAGACTGTTTCCTCTGCTGAAACACCCTCTCCTTTCACCCTAAACCTCCACTTCAGGGCTCACACCCAGGAAGTCGTTCCTGAACCTTTAGGTTGGATCAGGAGCCCTCTTCTGGGTCCCCCTTCTCCCAATCCTCTTGGGCTCTCCCCATCACAGCTTGGATCACTGCCTGTGCTTCCCCCATCATGCCTTGGTCATTCTGGGCAGTCACTGGTGTCTCCCCCATGGGCTAAGCTATGTGTTCATTTTCAGTGCTGAGCTAGGCCTGACCTATATTTGGAGCTCAGAAAATTGTTGGGTGAATAAATGAAAGTAACTGCATTAGTTCAAAATCCTTAACCCCTGTTAAAGAGGTCAATGACCAATCTAGAACAACACAGTCTGGTTAGAGTGTTGAGGTAGGGTCCTGGGAGCCCCCAGCTGTTTCTGGAACGTGGGAGAGTGGGGGAGAGGTGTCCCAGGCAGTCACTAGGAGCTGGACTACTAACAAACCAGTAGTTTAATGCCTGCTACACCTGAACAGTATGCTTCTGGCTGAACGTCAGTTCTGGGCATCTGAGGATCAGAGAGGTGAAGCTTCCTGAAGATGCACAGCCTGGATCCTCACTTTGTCCTTACCTATTAGACCCTGCTGTCCCTCTATCCTCTGGAGCAAGCAATCACAGTCATCCTCTCTCCTCCTTCCTCAGCTGCTGTGATTTGAATAACCCTGCAGGCTGTTGGATGTCCGGTGGTGACTGATTTGCCTGGCAAACAGACCCTCAGGTCGTTGGCACTGCTGGCACTAAGGGAAGACACTCAGCCCTACTGGGATCTGTTCCCTCTCCCCACCCCCAAGAGCTGCCTAGGCTCCAGTCTTGCCCTTGCTTGACCTTTGGGGTCCTAGCGCTTGTCTGCCCTTGGAGGCTAGAGAGTGCCCTCAAGACCTGCCCTAGAAGTGGGAAGAATGGTAGGCCCTAAAGCAGAGGTAACTGGAGCCAACTAAGTCTGCTCCCTGGGCTTGTCATGAAATTTGCATGGAGAGAATAAGAGGCTCCTTCATGGCTGCCCCCTCCCTTCCCACCTGGAATAGTCATCCTGGGGCTGAAACATCTCACCATTCCTGGAGGTGATGCCCCGTGCTTTCCTGGTCAGGAGCAGGCGTCCGCAACCACCCAACTGGGGACACTTGCCTGACCAGCTCCGGGGAGATGCCTATGTCCCAGGTGAGCCCCTCACTGGGCCTGGAGGTAAGGGGCAGGGGAGACACAAAGCATCACCATCTGGCTTCTCTTCTCAGACTGCAGCAACCTGGGGGGGCCACCCGCACACCAATCTTCTGGCCTCAGGGATTCTTGGGCAGCGGTGAGTCTGCAGCTGGCCTACAAGACCAGGCTCAGTTTCACTCTCAACCTCAACAGAGCCTGACTGCCCCATCCATACTCCTCAAGCCCATTGCACCCTCCAGCCTCGGGACCCTTTCACCCATTGTTCTTTCTGCTAGGAATACCTTTCCTTTCTTAGTAGTGAGTGAGCTGTTTGGCTTCATCTCAAGCAACGTTTCCCCAGGGTGGGCAGCCACAGCCCCTGCGCCCAGGGATCTCTCTGTTCCATGGGGCAGAACAGGACTCAAGCTTACAAGTGGATGGTGATTTGCTTTATGTTAGATCAGATAAGGTGACAAGAGTGGAATGGGGGATGGAGAATGGCATTGGGGCCTTTCAGCTGTGTATGCACTGAAGAACACTAGCTGAATGTAAACTTGCTGAAGATTATTTCAGTATTTATTGAGAGCCAGGAAATGTTCTAGGCAATGGGTATTTAGCAGGAGTAAGACAAAAACTTCCTACTTCTTGGAGTTTATAACCTGGTGGGGGCTGCAGGTATTAACAATGAAATTGGAAGATATATAGGTATTATGTTGGAAGACGGGATGTACTATGGAAAAATAAAAGCAAGGTAAGGGCAATGGGGATGGTCAGGGAAGGCCTTGGAGAGAGGGTGGCATTTGCACACATAAATAGTCTCTGGTCTTCCCAGACCTCCTTGGTTCCAAGTCCTAGGCATTCCATTTGCTCCAGTGTGTGTATGCGTGTGTGTCTAACTCCTGTGTCCATCCCACAGCCCACGCAGGGCACTTTGGTCGTCACTCCCAGGGGCCCTGGGACGCTTGGCTGTCCACTCTGCCCCAAGGCCTTTCCGTTGCAGCGCATGCTGACAAGGCACCTCAAGTGCCACAGCCCTGCGCGCCGCCACATGTGCCGCTGTTGTGGCAAGGGATTTCACGATGCCTTCGACCTCAAGCGCCACATGAGGACTCACACCGGTGAGCAGTGCTAGGGGCCTGCAGAGGGATGTAGAGTGAAGACAGGTACTGGTTACAGGATTCAGGTCCCAGATTGAAGGGTGCAAATGAAAGCACCCTCCACACCCAGCCCCAGGGGAAGGAACATCCGGTGAGGACAAAAACACAGCTGTCTGGCCCATGTTTGCACTGGGCGGAGGTTTGCAGATGGTGGGACGTAGGCGGAAGAGTCTGCAGAACTTGGAGTAGGAGTCTGCAGAACTTGGAGTAGGAATGGGAAAATACTCATGGAGGGCAAGGTGAATTGTCTTTGGTCTGGAGGCCATTGCCCTGTCTGTCCTTTCCCCTTCCGCATATCTATCTGTACAGGGATCCGCCCATTCCGCTGCGGAGCTTGCGGGAAAGCATTTACGCAGCGCTGCTCGCTGGAAGCACATCTTGCCAAGGTGCATGGGCAGCCAGCCAACTACGCTTATCGTGAGCGCCGTGAGAAGCTGCATGTATGCGAGGACTGCGGTTTCACCAGCTCCAGGCCAGATGCCTATGCACAGCACCGCGCCCTACACCCGCTGCTTGAGACTGCGCACCCCTCATCCAATCCATGAGAGTCAAATAAACACACGACATGCATGCACAGAACAGAGCATTTATTACATGTGGGGGAGGGTGGTTCACTCGGTCCAGCGGTGGCCACAGTGTGGGGCGGTGCACACGTAGTACAAGCGCATGGCATCCTGGCAGAAAGAGGCACCGTTAGGAAGGGTCGGGACCCACGGAAAGGCACATGATGGAACCTCCATCCAGCAGAGCCTCACCCCAAAAGAACAGACAACACGGCCTTCCCCGTTGGTAAGAGCCCAGCTTATGATACCAGGAAGGGCAGGTTCCCCTCAGTATTGGTATCCCCGCCCCCGGAAAGGACCAAGGCCACAATATCCTTCCTCATGCCACTCACCTCCGCACGGGCACTGTGCGACTGGAAAAACACCGCCTCCTTGTGTCCGCACCTGAGGGAACAGTCAGTCACTCAGAGCCTGCCATACCCTTCCCTTCTCTCCCAAGGGCCACTCTCCCTCCCGAATACCAGCAGCGCGCTCACTTTTGGCACGGATGGTCCTCGGTCCGGGGCAACGTGGGGTCCTGGGACACGTCAGCGATGATCTGTGTCAGTTCGCTGAGGGAGCACAGAGTAAATAATTATGCTGACGGGGGCTCCCAAGCCAATAACCCCGTCCCCAAATCCCCGGTCCTGCCACTCACTCCACTTCGTGCGTGATTTTGTTGACGTAGATGCAGCTGTTGTCGGCTTCCTGCTGGTAATCACAATTCCGGCACTGCGGGAGGGCGAGTGTGGTGGAAAGGGGATCACGGAGGGATCCCCGATGGGGCTGGAAGGGAGGGCAGGGTTTTCCCCAGAGGGGATGACTAGGGGATAGAGTCTTGAGATTGGGATGATAGGTGTATCGAGAATCACCTCGGGGATGGGCAAGACGGGAGAGTCGGGTTCACTCTGGGGATAGTCAGAAGGAGAGACCAAGACCAGTCGGGGCGGGACAGGGAGTAGGGATCACGTGGAGTAAGGCGGGCCACTATGGGGACCGGTAGACCGGTGGGGAAGACCGGGATACTCGCGGGCTCGCGCTCACCGCGTAGAGCAGAATGCGGTTCTCCTTGTCCTCCTTGGGGTAAAGCATGTTGTTACTGTGGGGAGGGGGAGGCCAGAGGTCAGTCCTGGGGCCATTACGTGCTCCCCTTCCACACCTGCTGCCCTGGCCTCACCATTCCTGGCAGAATCGAATACCCACGAAGCCCGGCTCGTAGGTACCGTCCGGTTCCATAGCGTCGTACTGTCTGCCGCCAAGCCTTCCGCACTTGCTCCGCCGCGCGACAGGTCGCGAGCAGGGTCAGATCTAGTTGCTTCGCCCAAAGAGGGGCGGAGCTGCGCACACGTACTGGCCGCTGGCGGCTTTGTACTCGGCTCTCCGCGCTGATTTGATTAATTACTGGCTTCAGTCTTTTGCTATCCAATCTTCTGCTTCCAACCTGTAGGTCTTGCTTCCCTAGTTTATAGAATAGTATGGTACGAGAGCCGGGAATACCACGCGTCTTGTAACCCGCAAAGCGCTGAGCATAAATGAAGAGGCCATCGCTCTTTACTGGCCGAAGGACAGTGCGCATGCGCGAGCTTACTCGCCGCGGCTGGTAAAACTCCTGCCAGTCTTTCCTCTCGGCTTCAGTCTTCGCCCACCCGGGCCGTTTCCCGGGCTGCTATTGGAAGAAATATACACGATGGCAGGCCTCTCAGGATTGGCTGGATCTACCTTAAGAATAAGGAGAGCATCCTGGCAGTAAGGAGGCGACGGCGATTGGAGAATCATCCTTGCGGGAGAGCACGGATTGGCCAGGCCGAGAGCAGGGGGTGGGACTGATATCCCAGAAGCNTATACCATGGTAGAGCCGGGCAAAGAACGCTGTACTCTCAGGTATGTGACATGTACACATGCAGCCTGAATCACACCATGCCTGTGTCTGCATGTATAGAACGCCTTGTTAGCTCCTTGAAGGGATTTTTTTTTTTTAAGATTTTTATTGGGGAATTGAGGGAGGGGAACAGCGCTGGGGAATCCGGGGAAGGGGAACAGACAAGTTGCTGTCCTTTTGTTCTTCAGTCTAGTTGTGGAGGACGTTGCTTCATTGGCCCATGTTGGAATTATCATTGTAGAGGGCAGTGTCACTGGCCCTCATGTGGGATCCAAACCGGGGCCCTGCTGCTCAGAGCTGGCGTCCCAAGCCAGTTCTTAACCAACATGCCACTCGGCCGGCCCAAAGGGATTCTTGATGGAATGACTATTTAAGGTATTCTGCTTAATAGTTACAGTTAATTATAACTACTGGAGAAGTTGGCAGTGGCAGGAGTACCACAGTAAGCAGAACGAGGTTGAATTGTCTGAAGGCTGAAGTTGCTCACATCCACATACAGCCTCAGGTATATGCACTCCAATGCCCACTGTAATACACACATACTCAGATACACAGAACACACACCTGGCTTTACACTCCAACACTGGAGACACTCAAAACACAGACACAGGAGATCGCATGCAGAAACACAGTGCACAAAAGTTCTCTCATGAGGGAGCCACACATACACAGAATACACTCAGATTCATATCAGACACCCATCAGGAATAGATATAAACCTAAACACACACACACACACACACACACACACACACACACACAAATCAATGAGTTGTCGATCTACAAAAGAACAAAACTGGTTACTTTAGAAAAAGACCCCAAGGCTTAGGCCCCTTCCATGTCAGTGGTTGTCAGAGTGAGGAGCATTAGAGGGGGCATCCCCAACTTCCCAGCCAGCACCTGCTAACCAAAGTTCAGCCAGAGTCCAACAGAATTAGCTCAGCTAATGGATCAGCACTGAGGACCTGAGACTCACTTTAAAGTTTGGCCTCAGAGTAAACCTCCATTGAGGCCAAAGGATAGGGGCAGGAAGATGATCACCCAAAGTCATACCTTTGAGCTCCAAGTAAGGGTCACAGAGTCATTGTGCATGAGGATCTGCCAAATTGCAGTGGAAGATCTACACAAACTTCCAGGGTGTGCTTTCATACCTTCCAGCTGTCAACACAAAAGAAGCTGTCCCCATAAGAACATGGGGTAACATTTAAGTTGATGATAATAGAAGGGATCATGCTGGTCATTTCTAAATAGGAAACCTACACCTGCTTTTTGAAAGTTGACCACAGTTAGGGATTAGAGAGTCACCTTATAGAATGGCCTGGTGCTTAAGCTTTAATGGTATCAGGGGGACCAGAAAGGAAGGGGACAGTGGTTAGTGTGTTACAGTAATACTAGCTGCTATAACCCTACAGTCCAATACAGGGATTTGGGTTGATTGGCGGCTACCTCCATGTGTTGATTCACACCCAGATTCCATCTTGTGGTGCTATCATTTCCATGTGCTCAAAATTATCTGCTTGCAGCTGGCAAATAGGAGGAGACAGTGTGGGGAAGATTCACCATATTCTTTAATAACCTGTTCTACCCATTTCACTTCTGCTCATATTGTATTGTTGAGACCTTGTCAGTCATGCAGCCACCCTAGATGCAAAGTGGGCTTTGAAACATACTCCTGTGCTGATTAGCTCCTTTCCAACCACTACTGTGAAAACAGGACCTTGGATTTTGGCAGCCCCAGATTTGACCACCTTCTATCTGTCGTCACTAGATCCATAACCTCAAGGGAAGCAGCAGGGAGAGGCTGTAGGATTTCCTTCTACCAGACCCATTAAATCCTCTGGCCCCCCAACAACTGCCCTTGCCTAATCTGCACCATCCACCTCCCTTCCATTAATTCTCAGGTCAATGCTGATGGAACTCAGTAAATGTCCAACCCTCTACATCCGCGGTTCTCAACCTTCCTAATGCCGCGACCCCTTAATACAGTTCCTCATGTTGTGGTGACCCCCAACCATAAAATTATTTTCGTTGCTACTCTATNTTACTTTTTATTTTTTTTAATTTTTTTTATTGGGGAATTGGGGGGAGGGTAACAGCATTGGGGAATTGGGGAAGGGGAACAGACAGATAGACAAATTGCTGTTTTGTTCTTCAGTCTAGTTGTGGAGGATGTCACTTCACTGGCCCATGTTGGTATGATCATTGTGCTCTTCCTGGGTGAGGCAATCGGCCACCGGTCGTTGGTTGGCCGCTCACAGCAGCTCCCGGTAGCTCACACTGGCTACCAGCCGCTCACACTGGCTGCCAGCCACTCACGTAGCTCATGGCAGCCTGCTGCAGCCTATGCCGTCGCTGGCGACTCACAGCAGCCCAGCTCCAGGTTGTGCTGTTGTTCATCATCTTAGCTGTAGAGGGCGAGAGTCACTGGCCCTCAATGTGGGATCTGAACCGCAGCCCTGCTGCTCAGAGCTGGTGCTCCCAAGCAAGCTTTTAACCAACTGAGCCACTCGGCCGGCCCCGTCTTTTTACTTTCTTGATAGTGTCCTTTGAAACACTAGTTTTTAATTTTTATGAAGTTCAATTTATTTTTTCTTTTGTTGCTTGTGCTTTTGGTATTATAGCTAAGAAACCAATGCCTAATACAAAGTCACAAACATACACATTTGTATTTCTTCTAAGAGTTTTATAGGATTGCATCTTACATTTAGGTCTTTGATGACCTGGGGTTTTTGGTTAATTTTCATGTATAGTGTGAGGTACACACTTCATTCTCTTACATGTGGATATTTAGTTGTCCCAGCATGATTTGTTGAAAAGACTATTCTTTTCTCGTTGAATTGTCTTGCACTCTTGTCAGAAATCATTTGACCATAAGCAGTGTGGATTTTATGCTGAGTGGGATGGGCAGACTTTGAGGAATTTGGGTCAAGGCAGTGGTGCTATTTCCCTTCTATTTTTACAAAGACCCCTTTGGCTTCGAGTGTTGAATGAACAGGGAGTCAGGGGTAGGAATGGGGAGACCAGTGAAGGGGACTACCATGTTAGTCTGGGCAGGAGATTGCGGTGGTTCTGGGTTGGTAATAAGGAGTGGTTTTCGCCAGGACAGGCTTTACATTGTTGAGCAGGCACAAATGTGGGGTGAGCCACCTCTGGAGGTTTATTTGGGATTTCTCCCTTGGGCAGGACTCACAGATTTCAAGCCCGGCTACTGGATTGGCATCCGCTATGATGAGCCACTAGGGAAAAACGATGGCAGGTAATAAGTATTCCCACTCAGCATCTGTGTGTTTGTTTGTACCTGTGTCTGTGCTTTCATATGTGTGCATATATATGGAAGTGCATGCATGCACCACTAGTAGGTGAGCCTGTCCATCCTAGCGTCGGGAGGGAGCCATGTTGGGGGCTCTCTGACCACTGCCTTCTCCATCATGCCCTGTAGTGTGAATGGGAAACGCTACTTCGAATGCCAGGCCAAGTACGGTGCCTTCGTCAAGCCATCATTTGTGACAGTGGGGGACTTCCCTGAAGAGGACTACGGGTTGGATGAGATGTGACACTCAAGAAAGGACATCCTGCCCCAGCTAACTTGCCCACTTATTGCCCATCCCTATGTGTGCCCGTGGCCCTCTTCCCCGCACCCCATTTTTATTTTATTTACTTTGTCCTTGTCATTGACTTTTGAGACTTGAGTATTAAATTTGCCGGAACCGGAACGNTGAAAGACTAGGGGCATGCATCTTTTTAGTTTGTGGGTTGTGGGGAGGCCCCAGGAATCCTGGGGAGAGGCCAGGGCTATGATAGACTTGGAGGGCTTGAGTGACAGCCCTTTGACACCTAAAATAGAAGAGTTTCTCTGTGTGGGTAGAAGGTTATCTCATTAGGCCAGAGGCCCTGCCCGGGAGACTGAGTCTGACCCCCATCCCCCACCCCACCCACAGACTCAGTCCGCTCCTTCCTGAAGCGCAGCAAGCTAGGCCGATACAATGAAGAAGAGCGGGCACAGCAAGAGGCCGAGACCACCCAGCGTCTGACAGAGGAGAAGGCCCAGGCCAGTGCCATCCCCATGGGCAGCCGCTGTGAGGTGCGGGCACCTGGGCAGCCTGCTCGCCGGGGCACCGTCATGTATGTAGGTACGTGGTCCACTGAGGCCTTATGCCCTCACCTGAGGTGGGCAATGCTGGGGACCCAACTTTCAAGGAGATTTAGGAGGAGTGACAAACACAGCAGCCGACAGTGACAACCCCAAGTGGCAGGGAAGTGGGAAGCAGAGGCAGAATGATCTGGGTTGTGATAGAGGAAGTGGAGGCCAAAGCGATCAGTTCTGAGGCAAAAGCACGGGGCACAGTGGTCAGAGCTAAGATGGGGGAAACATGGGCAGAGTTATTAAGGCTGTGAGGGGGAAAGCACAGGCCCAAGTGATCAGGGCAGGGAAGAGGGGCGCTTAGGAAGCTCTGTGAGCTGAGAGGAAGTGCCAAACCTGTCCTTGGGAGTAATCCAGGAGGGCTTCCAGTGGGGGGCAGACATGGACACACTATCTGAAGGAAAGGGAGAAGTGAGCCAGTTAAATAGGGGGGATGAGTGCTCCAGACAGAGGGAGTAGTAGTAAGTACAAAGGTTCTAAGCAGGAACAAACTTGTCCTGTCTGAGGCAGAGAAAGGAAGTCAGTGTGTCTAGTGGGGAGTGAGTAAAGCGAGAGGTAAGAAGTGAGGTCTGGGGTATGGGCAGGGCTGGCCCGTGCANGCAGAGATTGATTGGGGACGGGACCTCAGCGGGGCAGGGCCAGAGAGATCATGAGGTTCAAGAGAATGGGGGCAGGCCCAGGAAAATCAGAGGTTCCAGAGGGCGGGGGCAAGAGCAAAAGGACCTGGGTCAGGGGTAACCAGGTGGGTCCTAAGTGGTGAGTTTTTTGGAGGAGCAAGGATGGGGTGTTCGTTATTGATGCAAAGGGCGGAGCCTCAGGTCAGAGGGCGGGGCCACTGACATCCTTCTAGCTTTCCAACCTTTCCCCATCCCCTATTCCTCGCAGTGTAAACTAGAGCTGGTGGTGGGCAGCCCTGCTTCTTGCATGGAACTGGAACTGTATGGAGCTGACGACAAGTTCTACAGCAAGCTGGATCAGGAAGATGCACTGCTGGGCTCGTACCCCGTAGATGATGGCTGCCGCATTCACGTGAGGCCTCCCTACCTGGGACCCCTCCCCTTCATTCGTTTATTTATTCAACAAATGCTTGCCAAGATACACCCCCGTGGAGCCCCTAGTCCAGCATGGAGAGAGATAGACGCATCACCAGACAGTGACAGCCAGAGTGGTCTGGGCTGGTGAAAGTCCAGGTGATTGGGGGCACCCAGAAGAGCTGCCTCACTCCATCTGGGAGTATCAGAGGGGGCTTTCTGAAAGAAGGTTTGACTGCTTGAGCTGAGACCTGAAGGATGAGGAAAGGGCAACTTAGGAGAAGAGGTGGGAGGGGCATGTCAGCTGGAGGAAGCAGAGTGTAGAGAATCCTAGAGTGTGAGGTGGGTCAGGGGGAGGGATGAGACGTGTTGGGAGAAGCCAGAACACAGGACCTCTGCATGCATCAGCTCACATCATCATCTCCATCCTCATCTCCCCCGCCCAACACCCTGCCACACTCCTCAGACATCTCAGTATCCCAGGTGAGCTCCACCTCAGGGCCTTTGCATGTACTGTAGCCTGTGCCTGAATGTTTTTTTTTTCTCTTTCTTATGCCCACATGGCTCACTCCTTTCAGTCTTTACATAAATATCGGCTTCCAAGTGTGAGGCCTTCATTAGCTTCAGTGTAAAATTTAAACCTTCTCCTTTTTCTGCTTGACTTGATTTTTGTCCTTAGCTCTTATCATCCAGTGACATACTGTGCATTTTTTCCCAGCACCTGGAACAATGCCTGGCACGAAAAGGATGCTCAGTGAATCATTGTTAGATGATGAGTTGAATCCATAAAATAAGATTTGGAAGCTGGTGTAATTAACCCTGTTTTGCAGAAAATTTAGCTTCAGGATGGAGTTTACTTTCATGAGGAACTATATCTAGAATTTTTACCTCAGTCTACATGACTTCAGAAGTCAGTGTGCCCAGATAACTGGTTCTTTTTTATCTTTCATTCATTTAGTAACCGTTCGTTGAGCATCCTTTTTACCCCAAGGGTATAGCTGTGAGCCAAGTCTCAGAAGGTCTCTGTTTAGCTCTGTCCAGTGTGTGGGATAGATGTTAGCTAAATATTCACAAGAACAAATGTGAAGGGCCAGTGAGGTGAAGGCCATGCAGGAGGCGATCAGGAGCTGGGAGATCCTATACTGAGGGACATGACCCATCACTGAGGTCTGGGAGGACTTCCTGGAGGAGGTGCAGCAGACCCAAAGTATAGGAAGAGTTAACTGAAGAAGGGAAAAGAGTGTTCCAGGAGGAGGGTACAGCATGTGCAAACACTCTGAGATGGAGGGAGCATGGTGGGTGCAAGGGACTGAAGAGTGACCACTCCTATGGCAGAAGGAAGTGGGAGCCAACGCAAGACTCTTGAGTCAGAAGAGCCCTGGTCTGACTCAGTTGTTCACAGGCTCCCTGTGGAGAATAGAAGGAGTAGGGAGACCAGGGAGGAGGCTGCTTCCATAGTCCAGATGATGTGGTAGTGTGGGAGTGGGTTAGGACTGTGCTGGGCCCACAGCATTGAGACTGGGCTAACCTGGGCAGCCTCAGCCGAGGGATGCTGGTGGCCCATGCTTGGGCAGTGGCATCTTCAAACAGGAGGTTTTCACGTGTGGCTTCAGGTATAGACAGACCTCTGACTTCTGAGGCCATTCAAGGAAGGTTTCCCAGAGGTAGATTCTCTGGGGAACTTTTATTTTTACTAAATCTTTTCTGTTTATAAATATTACCTATATTTGTTGCTTGAAATAACAACAACCTCAAACTTACAAAAATCCCTAATATAGAGTGTAGAAATTCTTAGTGATCCTTGACCATAGATAAGAGCCATTTCTCTTTTGCTGTTTTGTCCAGCGGTTCAGGCCAAATACCTCAGAATGTTTCCTGACCCCTCTCTTTTCCTCACACCCACATCCAGCCTGTCTGGGCCCTACCCTGTGGGCTCTACCTACAAAATCTATCTGGAATCTAAATTCTTTCCCCCTCCACTGCCCATCCTGACCCAGCCTCCCATCTTCTCCCTCCTTGACCTTGTAGCTTCCTCCTCCCTTGTCTCCTGCTCCCATCCCCACCACACATTCTGCTCCCCACACACCGTCTGAGGGAGCCTGTGAACCCCTGAATCAGATCAGGGCCTCCTGGCTCAGAGCCTCGCCAGCTGCACCTCATTCCTGGTAAAAGCAAAGTCTACAGTGATCTGTTGTGTCCCTCCCTCTCCCCCTGACTCACTTCACTCCAGCCACGTTGGCCTCCCTGCTGTTCCTCAACAGGGCTAAGGACAGTTCTACACCTGGGACTTTGTTGGTCTTTCTCATCCTTCAGGCTCAGACATTCCCTCCTTTTGGGAGCCTTCCCTGACTACCCTTCCCAGGCTCCTTAAGTCTCTTTGTGATATTTTTCTACATTGAACCTTGTTATCTTCTGGTGTTTAATACATGTACCTGTGCATTTGTTTATGATCGATCTCCCAGCAGAGTGAGCACTCCTTACATATTTTTTCACTAGCACCCAGCACAGGGCCTAACTGGAAGCCTTGGAAGAGCTCAGCAAGAGATGAGTGAATGAATATTGAGGACGGTACAGAAAGCGATGCTCCAGGGTCTGGAGGTTGGGGCCAGTTTAGGAGGATCCCAGAGGCCCAGAGAGGACAGATGTTCTGCCCAGAGGGCTCATGAGCAAGATCTGAGCTCTGCCCTTTGATTCCAGTGACTTGGGGGCCGTCAGTGATGTTGATGCCAGCATGTGGGGATCTTCTGGGGCAGATCCAGCCTCCATGGTTTGGATAGGGGTGAGGAAAGGGAGATGGCAAGATGCCAAGTGTAGATACCTGCTCTTATCCCTTCTGCTGGGCTCAGAAGATGAGAGAAGGCTGGGGTAAAGGTGAGAGTAGAATGTAGCTTTTCCTAGGCAATAGAGACTTAAGTCTATGGAATGCTCCAATGTGCAACTGTACTACCTCCCCCAGCATCCCAGGCCTCTCTGGCCAAGACCCTGATCTCCACTGACCTACCTCCCTCACTACAGGTCATTGACCACAGTGGTGCCCGCCTTGGGGAGTATGAGGATGTGTC